ACCTAATTCATTATACCCTTGAAGTACAATAATGAAAGTGTTCCAAGAAAGAACCTAATTCATTATACCCTTGAAGTACAATAATGAAAGTGTTCCAAGAAAGAACCTAATTCATTATACCCTTGAAGTACAATAATAAAAGTGGTCCAAGAAAGAACCTAATACATTACACTCTTGAGGTACAATAATAAAAGTATTCCAAGGAAGAACCTAATTCATTATACCCTTGAAGTACAATAATGAAAGTGGTCCAAGAAAGAACCTAATACATTACACTCTTGAGGTACAATAATAAAAGTATTCCAAGGAAGAACCTAATTCATTATACCCTTGAAGTACAATAATGAAAGTGGTCCAAGAAAGAACATAATACATTATACTCTTGAGGTAAAAGAATCCATACCCATATACAACAAACCTAACAAAGTGAATTAAGCAAATAATTAGGCATGTGAAAAATATACGAAACTGCAGAACACACATGTCGTAATATGAGGTTTTCTGACTTCTTTGTTCTTAAGCACAAAGCTAAACAATGGGATATCTGTGGTTTGCCCACAATGGATAATAAAAGCCAGTTTTTAGATAAGCCACTGGGGAGCTTTTTTTCTGAATTCAAGTAAACCAGTAATTAGTGGATAATTGTAAAATTATAAGATTTTAGTTTTTTAGTTAGACAGGTGCACAATTTCCTTCTGTAACACTGGTCTAGATTCTGGTACTTCCTCCTAAATCAGTTTCGTCTGGTCACCTTAACGTGACATATCTATATTCAGATTGTATCTAATGGAACAAAAAGCCAGGTTCGACACTCGCCATGGCAGAACAAAGACAGCTATTATATAGTCTTGTGCTAAGCAATAAATTGCCTGTTTGTTTTTCAATTTCTCGCAAAGCTACATGAGGGCATTCTGCAATACTCATCCACAAGAGAAAACAATAGATTTCAACCTCTCCTCGTATCAGTGGCGTAGCAAGGGTTTTCAGCACCCGGGGGCAAAGACACTTTTGGCGCCCCCACCTCTGAAATGTTTTGATTATTTGTTTTGTGACTCATTACCCACATAATGACCATAACATAAATAATTAATTACCACCTTACACAGGCCTAAAGTAAAGTCACAATATAACATCTCACGATATCACAACTGTAAACCTGGAACTAATGAAGTATACCCTACTAGGTGTACTAACACAATTTGTAAACCATTTTGATATTTATGTCATCCAGTATTGTTCAAAGTCACATAGCTGGAGTAATATTTCAAGCATGCAGAATAAATTTCTGTTATATCCCTAGTTTTAAAACTTATGTTTTATATGAGAAGCCAGTCACTTATGGATTATAAAACAGACTGATAAAATGCTACTTAAGTTTACAAATAACAAATTTTATTAGTTTACAAAACTGTACGTATACTTAACTAGATCTTGTACAGGTAGCATTCTGGTATTCATGGTTACATTATATGAACCTTTCGTACTTTTGCCTGCTGCAAATGCATCATTAACTATCAAATTTAAGTATTAAGTACGTCTTTT